AGAGTGTCAAAAGTTTTTGGTAGTATTGTAAGATATGTATCAAAAAGAACAACACAATAGAAATCGTGTGTATTTTTACCTTGTAAAGTCAAGACCACAGATACTGAATATGACATACTGCTCTCCCATTCCAAATGACTAGATCCAGTGATCACCAATCTTAAACCTCATCCTGACAAAGTTAAAAACTTCGTGAGTATGAGAACCTGGCTTTCACCATTCTTCAAAATCCATTTTCAACATCAGGTCCCTTCTGCAAACTCTACCAACTTTCACTGAAGTGTACTGGGGAAATACACATTTCACTCCTAGCTGGTTTCTTTTCTGGCATAGCTAACAAAAAGGTTGTTTATAATGAATTTAAAAGAAACTACACTGCCAGTTTGTCTAAACATTTATACTCAAGAGGTATGTCAGAGCACTGTATCACTAAGGAAAATGTGAGCCTGAGACAGATAACCTACTTTGCACTAGAGAGAAGTGAATGGTTAGTTTCGTGCTTTTCCAATGCAATGTAGTTGTTATTGTTTCTAAAATAGTAACCATGCAGGCATAAGTGAAGTAATTTCAAGTACCAAAGAAGAGTAAACAAGGGGAACAATGACTGTCCTGCCACCCGAGTTTCCCCAAGTATGGAAACTCGAGTCACAACATGGAAATGGCCAGTTTCACAAAGACTGATAATCACGACTTTGATTCTATAAACTTAGTTTTTCACATTCCTTACAATATGATAAACAAATGGTCTGTGAACTCATCACAGCCATTTGTTCCATGTGTACTATTTTCCTACATGTAACATATTATGTAATTTGGTAAGCCTTGTTTTAAACATACATTCATTACATTTTATGCAAAGGACTGAGATACTTACTGCAAATTTTAAATTAAACTGTAGGCCTGAAGATGTCACCTATGATCTACTTGAGGAAAACAGTGATGAAACCCTTTCATGTATTTCAGTAAGGCACCACATTACACTGAAAATTGTGTGCATTTACATTCATTTCAGTGGAACAGCAATCAGGCACAGAAATTTAAATTTGTTATGTGCTTGAAGCTCTAAAATTCCCTTACCAGAATCAGCTGAATTAATTTCTTCATGTGACTGCATATGAACTCATTTTAGACATTAGATGACACCAGTGTCTGAGGGAGGACTTAAAAATATCTCTTAAGTCTAAAGAACTTTACTTCTTTAGTACATCATATCAAGCCTCATTATACCAAGCACATAATTTTCCCTCAAGTAAGGGCACCTATCCCTTCCATAGATAAACTTGTCTTTACCAGTAAATGACTAAAATTCTGAGACTGTTTTGCCTCTATTAATATCTCATATTAAACAAAAAAACCTGTCAAAGAGAAAAAGTTATTGTGTGCTTTTCTGATGACAAAGTCATCAAGAAATTCCTACCAATTTTTATTTAGTGGGCTGTAGCCTAACAATTTCTGATGTAAAGCTTTGAAGGATGTGCTGAAGAAAGCACTTTCAATGTGAGATAACTGTTATGGACAGGCAAAGTAGTACAAAAATAATGGGCCATGGAATAAATACTGTCAGGAACAAAATTACTTTCTTAAATTATTTAAATATAAAGGTATTTTAACTGTGACATGACATAAATGAGAGGGAATGAAGAAGCTCGATGAAAGTTTTAAAATTCATTAGGATTTCCAATTTGCAAGTCCAAAAAGCCATGTTTCATACCACAGAAACATGACGTCCAAAATCACTGCAAATGAACCAACTGTGAATTATCAAATTCGCACAAAGCAATCGTTCTTCATAATAGCATAAACACGTATCATTCATAGAGGCCTTTAAGGAACAAAAAGAAAAGTTCATCCTGTAAGATGCATTACTCAATGAGACTTACTATCAAAAACGTACAATGTGAAAAGCATCAGTACTGTACACATCACCTCTATAGGTAACAAAATAAAAATCTGAAATCTTCTTCCTCATAAAATTGTGATTATCTCATTAATACGTTTTTTATTTATCCCCCCTCCATGTAGGCATAATGCTCAAAGTCATAATATTCAGAACCTATGAAATATTAAACTAATTCATGGGATATGAAAGCTCAAGTTTAATTACATATAAACTCTTATAGTTAAACCATTTTTAGCATAGCAGTAAGAAAAAAGTTTAGAGACTCTCATCAACAAAATGCATGGACAAACAAATGAAAAGCAGGGAAGTCCTACCTTTTACAACCTAAAAATCCTAGAATACAATAAGGTATCCTACAAAGCATATTTACATAATACTGAAGATATATATGGAGGAAAACAATAACAAATCCAAGTTACACTGGTAATCTGATACAGTAATAGATGAAAACAGTTGGCTCATATGAAACAGGAAAATGAGATAAGAGATTCCTTTATATTTGAAATATAATTGTCTTTAAGAAAGATACCACATTTGTACTTTTGATGACATATCCTGCCTTCTGTAATAATTTCCTGCAATCACAAATAATTGGTGCTACCTTAATTTGTTCTGCTATCATAAGGAAACTATGATGTTGGGTTTCATATTGATACAAATACCATATTACTGTTAAATGAAGTCAAACTGAGGCAATGTATCCAAAGATGGTTCACTTTCAACATATTCTAAACATATAAATTCATTTCTGGTCACCATGTTGAATCAACTGTTTGCAATTAATCATGCTGCATAACTTATTCTAATCCCACAAGCAGTTCAAGAGTAAAATCCTATGTTACATTTGGATGAGAATTATGCTTTGATTGTTCACTGTCTGGGCTAAAATCAATCAATGGGTCATCTTCCTTCCCACAATCACCAAATGAATCTTGCTTTGATGCTCCTTCACCACAAAAGACACTATGATAGCTTGCAGCCTCTGCAGCTGTCTCACTTGGAGTCATACTGTCATAGTAACTGAGCTGTCTGTCATTAATCAGACGTGCTGGTGCGCTGTTATAAAAATCCTCTGGAGCAGGCACAGGTTCAGGAACCAAAAGACGAGAACATTCAGTTGCGCTGCCTCCGGCATAACGATACGTACCCCGCCCACGGATGTGTCTGCTGAGAGAACTTCCAACTACACCTAGGTGCTCTTTGATATCACGCTGCACATCCGAAACATCCCACATTGCAAGGAATGCTGCACAGCAAGACTGCTGTCCTGCTGCCACATTAACATACGGTTTATATGAAAAGCTGTAGTGGTGAGCAACAGCTGCTAGGAACATCTCAATACAAATCAAGAAATCTTGCAACTCATTTGAGATGCTCTTTATGGTATCACCATCACTTGTGTCAAACACAGAGGATATCACACCCGTGAACACTAGAATGTTGATCAGGACTCCCTGGCTGAAAGTTCATAAAATAAACCGAAGTATAAGTTATAACATTAAATGTAACAGCATTAACACAAACATAAACAAATCCCCATATACTTGGTTCAACTTATCCAACAGTTCATCACTTGAATATAGTAACTGACTATACTATGTAATAATACAGCTAAATCTTAATTATACTATACAAATAAATAATTATACTCACAAAAAGGAAAAGAATACAACTGATTTGATGCAGAGGAATTTTCCTATTGGCTGCATAGGCTTCAGTTCATCTCTGTTTGCCTGATAGAAGAGCACCAGGCAATACATGGCAATAAACTGAGAAAAGTTGTTGATGGCAATCATATAAGGGAATGCTACATTTCCCTTGAACTCTCCCTCACCATACACACGTGCCAATTCACAGACACTACACAAAGATATGCAACATTAATAAGAGTTGGAAAGACAGAAAAATCACACGCATAATAAAAATTACTAAATACTATAAGTAATC